GAGGACCTTAGGACCATCAAGGGAAAAGAGCATGAGTGGAATGTGGGACTTTATCCAGAGAAGCAGTGACACCAGAGATGGAGGCAGAGATGAGGACATGGAGAGAGGGAGCAGCTGCGGACTCCAGATTCATGGGAAGATAACGGCTGTGTGCCGGCAGCCAGGAGGAAGGCTTGCAGAATGTGCTGTTTGACTGGTTGCTTAAATGATTATACATTTGAGTGGTTTTGTGTACATTAAAAAAAACAACAGAGGGAATAAAAGCAAATACTATGAATGATGATGCATGCAGGGGGTTGTAATCATTGCAGTAAAACGGAATAAGATAGGGTGAGTATAAAACATGTTCTCCCATATAAGCTCTCACTTAATTCACAATAAAAACACAAACAAAACCAAAAAAAGAAAAGGTAGGAAATGACAGGAAAACTGGGTGAAGGGAAATGGGAACCCAAAGTGAAAACTGGGCAAGTGCTTACTCATTGTGGGGATTGTGGCCAATGTCATGGAACAATTTGTATAAACTGTTGAATGGGAAACTAATTTGCTCTGTAAAATTTCACCTAAACCACAATAAAATATATTTGAAAAAGAAAAAAATGTCTGAAACAACAGATTGCAATTAGATCACAAAGGTCAAACGTAGGTCATGGCAAATACAAATTGGAGGTTCATATAGTTACTTGAACAACAAAATTGCAGTATAATTCACAATGACCAAAGGTGAAAACAACCTAAATATCCATCAACAGATGAATTGATAAATAAAATGTAGTATATCCATAGAGTAGAATTACGATCCAGCCATAAAGATGAATAAAGTTGTCATACATGCTATGGCACAGATGAATCTTGAGAACATTATGCAGGGTGAAATAAGTCAGACACAAAAGAGCAAATTCCACTTACATGAAATATGTAGAACTGTTCAATTTATAGAGATAGAAAATACGCATGGATACCAAGGGCTGAGGGAAGGAGGAAATGGGGAGTTATAATTGTATCAGAGTTGCTTTGAGGAGTGATGAAAGTGTTTTAGAAATAGATACAGGTGATGGTTGCACAACATGATGTGTGTAATTAATGCCATTGAATTACATGCTTAAAAGTGGTATAGCTTATATAAAGGAGAAAATAAATTTAAAAAAATTAGGAGATGAGGTAAAAATGTTCTGTATCTGAAGTGGCATTAGTTCTTTGCACACTCCTAAGAATAAGCAGACGTGCAACCTAAAACACAGCCGGAAGTAAGATGTTCCACCATTCTGAAACATTGGAAGAAGGGGCAATCAAGTCATGCCCAGCATGGAAGAGATGGAAGGAGGTTCAATGGTTTTAGTGTAAGAAATAAAAATTAGCCACTCTGTCTAACCAGAAACAGGATTCAATACGCCTGTGATTTCTGAGATGTCGAGCTGGTGAATGGAATGCAGCAACTTGGAACCAAAAATGAGAAGCAGGTTCCTAAGTGCAAGCCCTTGTTTATAATCCCTGAGCATAACACATCTCGCTGTTGTAGGAAATTCTCTTGTCAACAAAGACAGAATGTTAATGGATAAATAACTCAGGCTACTCTCTACCTTTTCGTGATCTACATAGTGATTTTAATTATAATGACTCATTTAAATTGGAGGTCTAGGCAGCTGGGAATTAGGAACATAGCACTAGGAAAACCCAATGGAGACTAAAAAGTGAGAGAGAAAACAGGCAGCCTAGTACTTATGTATAAGTAAACTTTCCCGAGACAATGAACACAATTCAATAATCTCTGTGTTACTGATATGCTAGTTGAGGAAAAACAAAAGAACAAATGTACATGTAGCAGTCAAGTGCTAATGGGTCAATTGATCTGACATGTTCCTAACACCAGGGCTGCTGGAGAACTGAGGTAAAGATGAGTTATCAACAGAAAGCATGCAAAGTTTATTCCTCTCTTTTCCCCAAGCAGGACTATGGATAACTCCATTTAAAAGAGAAATACTGTTAGAACCCTATTTCCATCTCCAGGGCAGGATCCCTGAGAAAACCTTCCACTGCAGGAAGCTGGGGCCAGCGGCAAGGTTGATTTTTCCTAACCATACCTCTGGAGTGTTCTTCCAGAGTAGTAGACATCTGCCCTGCTGGGAAGTGCTTGAATAGCCATGCCTGATTACTGCGTCCTGGTGTGGCAATGGACCGCAAGCAAGCTCGGTTTGAACCACAAAGTAGTGTGGGGATGTAGTTATAGGCACTGGGCTGCTAATCATAAGATCAATGATTCAAACTCACCAGCTGTTCCTGGGACATACAGGGTCACTATGACTCAGAACTCATTGGACAGTACTTAAAAACAATCTCTGATTACAGAAAAGTTCATACCGTTCCCACATCCGAAAAACAACCATGTCATTTGAAGACCATCTTGAAATTAAAAACTTTATTCAATTAATTGAACAATTCAAATAACATTCAGGAACAACCAACATCAAGTTAAAAAGTCTATCCACTAAGGAAAAAGAGCCAACTTCCTCAATAGTTTTCAGGTTGGTCTTATTTGACGTCTAAGAAATGATTATTCTACTAGTAAGGAAGAATGAACCCTAAACAGTTAAACAAAACTTAAAAACAACAACAACAACAAAAAAAACCAATTCAATTGGCATCTCACTAAGTAAATCTGAAATCCTCAGTCTTAAACTTTTCCAGTCAATTAACTGTGGTGTCTTCTGCTTTTCCACTAAATTGTCAGTGGAAGAAAAGCAAAGATAAAATGCCACAAGATGAAATATCAGTTGGTATACAGTTTGCCAAGGAGCTCTGGTAGTGTACTGGTTACGAGTCTGGCTGCTAATCTCATGGTCAGCATTTCAAAGCCACCAGCTGTTCTGCAGGAGAAAGATGAGGCTTCCAGCTCCCTTAAAGATTTACAGCCTTGGAAACCCTGTACAGGGTCACTATGAGTCAGAACCGACACCATGGCACATAAAAACAATAGCAACATACAGTTTGTTGTTGTTAGGTTCCATAGACTCGATTCAAACTCACACCACCCTATGTACCACAGAAGGAAACACTGCCAAGCCCTGTGCCATCTTCATAATCACTATGTCTGAGCCCATTGTGGGAGCCACTGTGTCAGTCCAAATTGTTGAGGGTCTTTCTCTTTTTTAACGACTCCGTACTTTACCAATCATGATTTCCTTTCCCAAGGTGTGGTCCCTCCTCACAAGTCCAAAATAGGTGATGAATAGTTTAATCCTTTCTTATTCTTTAAGAAAGACTATTACAGAGAAATGATTTCTTCTAACAACTCTTCCCCAGGTCATATCTACGGCTCATCTGTCAGTTTGTCACACTGTGGTGGCTTGGGTGTTGCTGTGATGCTGAAAATTATGTCACCGGTATTCTAAAACCAGCAGGGTCATCATGGTAGAGAGGTTTCAGGGGTGATTTCAACTAAGACAGTCTCAGATGAAACAGAGGTGGGCTACTTGTATTTAGCCGCTGAAAACCTTATGACCAGCAGGGGCACACTGTCAGAGAGAATAACAGAAAATGAAAACATGAATAGCAGTATACTGTCGGATGTAGAGCTGAAGATGAGCCCCTCAAGTTGGAAGGCATTCAAATACGACTGGGGAAGAGCTGCCTCCTTAAAGTAGAGTTGACCGTGATGATGTAATAAAGCTTTGGGGACCTTCATTTGCTGATAGGGCACAACTCAGAAGGAGCCGAAACAGTAGCAAACATACATCATGTTAGGTTAAGTGAAGGGTCAGTGAAAACAAGGAAGACCCCAAGGAGATGTAATGACACAGTGGCAACACCAAGAGTTTTAAATGTAACAATTGTGAGGACAGCTTAGGAATGGGCAGTGCTTCGTTCTGTTGTGTATAGAAGCACTGTGAGTGGGAACCAACTCTACAGCATCATGTGAGGGAATTTCTATCACCTTCTCTGTTTTCTCAGACCACACTGGCTCCTCAGAAGTGATAATGAGATGTGGTCATTGCAAACTGCCTCACTGAATCTTTACTCAGTTTCAATCATGTTTTTAAACACTCTTATGTGACTACTGAAGAAAATTCTGTGACCAAATCTTATGACCCAAATGCTTTGGAAGAACTTGTGAAATAGTTTTGTGGTATCAGTTATTATGCAAAATAAGGACACTTAAACCTTTCAATGCACCTTTTTCCTACAGAATTAATCTCTCTCATCATTTCGGTCTGCATGTCTGTTCTTTCTAACAATTTTTGAGTAATTATTACCCAGTAATATTTATTCTCTAGACTTCAGACTGCTAGGATTCAAACAAGTTGCAGTTTCTTTCAAATGCCTATCCATTGGAATTTCTTTTTTTGGATTCCCTATCAATACCTGACAGGTTTCCAAGATAGGCATAATTGGAAACCACGTGTTAGAGGTTTAATATTTATACTATGTTTGGATCAATGACCATGGTTTGATTGAAATAGGAGTAGCTGTACATAAAAAGTCTTTGGGGTGAGAAAGATTTGTCACACTACACTTTGATAAGAACTAAATTTGGACAGTGTGACTTTTGATATGTTCATGGTACCACATTAAATTGCTAGCGAATAGGAACAATTACAAAGGATTAACAACACTCTCAAATGCAAATTTGAATGAAGAATAGCACAGAGGTTTAAAAAATAAATCAGGAGCAGGAAAAAAACTAAATGTTTCCTGTGTTAGGTTTGCAGTTTCAAAGAAGGCGGAAAAATAGATTCCCATTTTAAGTGTGTTCACACTGATATCCACCCCCAAACACATCATCCTAATTTCTTCCTCTTTGCTCAGGGAACATCCTAGCCACAAATATTCACTCTCCATGCCCAGAATCACCTCGGTTATGCTAATTACGTAGTAAACCAACTGTTTACCCAATGTTGTTCTGCACAATCCCTCTCAGAAAACCTGATTCAAAACCTCCCAACTTATTTTCATGCTAAAAATTTGGCAGCATCATAAACCATAAATATGAATCACAGACTTACCATAAAAGGTTAACTGTCCCTTAGCTACATTTTTTCCTCTTGAATTTTCAGCCACACATTCATATAACCCGGCATCCTCCTGCTGAAAATTAGGGATTTCAAGCGTTCCATTTGACTTGTGTCTTCTGACTTTCCTCGCTACCTGCTTTCCATCAGCTCTTCTCCAGACAATGGATGGTACTGGACTAATAGTAAGAATAAAGAGCAGTGAATCCAATGAGAAAAACTGTAAAAAATCTCCTAACAACGCCATCTTTCATCTTTCTAGAGCACATGAGATTACAACAGGCAGTGTTTTCTAAACCTCATTGAGCTCCTTGGAAACCCTATGGGTCCGAACCGACTCAGTGGCACTTAACAACATTATGACTTTAGGAGCTCTGGTAGTACAGTGGTTACAAGCCAAACTGCTAACCTCAAGGTCAGCAGTTCAAAACTACCAGCTATTCCATTGGAGAAAGGAGGCTTTCTGTTCCCGTAAAGATTTACAGCTTCGGAAACCCTATGCATGGTCGCTGTGTGTCAGAACTGAATTCATGACACATAACCACCACCATTATGACCTTAAATCATATTCACATATCTCGAATTATTATTTAGTGTTTTTCTTTGGGTTGAATTACTTTTTGTAACCTTAAATAATGTAATTTACCTCCCATCCATTATTCTCTGAAAAAAAACAGATTCTACTCTGGGTCACTTGGAGCACTCTCTTTAGGATTCCCGGCTCTCCCTGTAAGAAGTCTGTATACCTGGAGACAGACATGCAGGAGAGGACCAGAAAGCTCTCACATTTATGGTTCCAGGAAGCATAGCCTTCTACCCTGCCCAACAATGCACCAGAAATGTGAGAGAGACTCTTGTGGACTCTCCAGCTCTGCTCATCTGTCACCTGAGTACCATCAGAAACGGAGCTGCTGCCACATGGAGCCAAAGAATCAGCAGCCACGCTCTGCCCACATTTCTGACTCACCAAGTTGTGAGACACAGGTAAGCAATGGTTGATGTAAGCTGCTAAGTGTGTCATGCAGCATTAGAAAACAGAACCAATATATTGATATAAATCTTGTCATGTACCCATGGTGAAAGTATCATTTAAGAAATAGCTGAAGAATTAAACAATGAGAACACTAATACATTTTGAAAATCTGGGAGACACAGCCTAATTGCTGTCATAGAAGGATTCATTCAAAGTATATTATTGTGAGTAATATGGCTCTTTGTTGCTACATATTTACGTTGAATATCTTACCTGGTGTGTGGCGCTGTACAATCAGCACTGGACAGCAAACCACAAAGTCAGCAGTTCAAATGCATCAGTTGCTCTTCAGAAACCCTATACAGGGTTACTATGAGTCATAACCGACTGGATGGCACTTAACAACAACAACAACCAGTTGATAGCAGTACACTAGAAGGGTTGGTAACTGGAAATCTCTCATCGCTCATCTCCCATCCCCCTCCACATACCCAATTTAGGGAAATTCTACTTAAAATCTTGAGAAAAATGAGGAAGTAGTCTGTGAAGTCTTTATATATTTCTGAGGCATCTATCATCTTGTAACCATAAGCATTAGCACACATCTTAAATTGTAAGAAGGACATCATTGAGTCTGCGAATCAATGGTTTAGTGAGCTAACCACTGCTTTTAAGACCACAGCTTCCTAGCAGGGGATACAATTATTTACTTACTTATTTTTCACAGACACACACACAAATGTAATTAGACTAAAGACTTGCTAATCTTTTTGGGAAAACCTGAGATGGTATTTAAAAAATTAAAGCCATCTACTCTGCTATAGCTGTTTGAAAAGAATTTCAGTTCCTTAGACAGACACTCACTAGAAATGCAAAAAGGATCCCATCAGAAGTATATTGTGGTTGTCTTTACATTTGATGAGGCATACACTTCATCCTTGCCTTTAAAAATAGCTGTAGCTTAGACATAGCCTTTGTGCTGGTAAGTGGGGATGATAATGTGTTTCAGCAGCTGGATGTGCACACCCAAACATTTCTGTGGAGACTGGAGGAGTTCAATCTGGGTCGTTTTGTTTTTATTCCAGTCCTATTCAAGCAGCGTGAATAGAGTTTAATTCATATCCCGCTTTGAAGTATGAAGCGTGCCTTTCTCCACATCAAGTCTGACGGTGTCACCTTGCGGACTTCACCTAACATGGACTCTCTAGTTACCTGCTTTTACCTTTCCCCTGGGGCAAATTCCCTAATCAGGCAGATTAGATTTTCTTTGTTTCATACTGCTAGGCAAATTACTTTTAGCGATCAGCTCGCTGAATCTTTGTTCAATTGAAAGAATAGACAATGCTTTTTATACTCCTAAGTGGCTAGTTTGACCTATAGTGATATTTTCAATGTTTTATTCAAACAGTGTGTTCTCCATTAAAGAATATAGGTGTGATTTGGGTAAAAAGGAGAATTCTTCTTAACCTGATTAAAAATAAAAACAAGTATTTATGTAGTTGTTGTTAAAGGCCATGGAGTCTGTTCCAACCCATAGTGACCCTGTGGAGAGTTTTTAAGAAGAGGCTGATAAGCTTGAGCTTGTACCTCAAACCTTGCAGTTCAAACCGGCTTTGCAGTCCAGCACATTAACCCATAGCACCACGGTTGTTGTTGTTAAATACCATGGAGTTGGTTCTGACTCATTGTGACCCTGTACAGGGTTTCCAAGGTTGTAAATATTTACGGGAGCAGAACGCCTCATCTTTCTCCCGCAGAACTGCTGGTGGTTTAGAACTGATGACCTTGAGGTTTGCAGCCCAACTCGTAACCACAGTAGGAACCCTTTATTATTAGTCGTCTTTGTAAATGTTTAACTTTTAAATATATATTTACTTTCTTTTCTTCACCAAAGCAATAATTAATTACTGAATGCAAAACAGAACAAGCAGAATGGTAATGAGAACTTTCACCCATTGTGAGAAATATAATCAATGTTACTAAATAGCTAGTTATTGAATGAGAATCTAAACTGTTGTGTAAACGTCCACAAAAATTGAAAACAAAATATTATTTAAAAATTACTAAATGCAGAAAATTTCTGAAACATAGAAAGCAACAAACAAATAAATGAGACATTTATAGTCCAACCTGGCAGAGATAATTAGCAGTAAATTTTAGTGCTTTCCTTCGAGTAATATGTTTAATGTAGCATGTATGTATATATGTATGTGTGTATTATTGTTGTTAAGTGCTGTCGAATTGTTTCCCACTTATAGCAATGTAGTATACGGCTTCCAAGGTTGTACACTTTTGTCAGAGCAGAAAGCTTCATCTTTCTCCCGAGAAATGGCTGGTGGGCTGACCTTGTGGTTTGAGATCCAGAGCTTATTGTACAGAGACACTGCATTCCCACAGTGTGCATATAAACAGATTATATACCTAATTTTGTGTGTGTGTGTGTGTGTGTGTATATATATATATATATACTTGTTGTTAAATGTTAAGTTGGTCCAACTCATAGTGACCCTGTATATTGGTTTCTGAGGAGTGGTTGATGAGTTTGCCCATGTGGTGCAAACTGACCCTGCAGTCCAGCGCATTATCCTGCAGTATCACACCATGATTCATATCTGTGTTTGTGTGTGTGTGTATGTATTTATGTTTTGTTTTAGTTATTAGGTGCTGGTTAGTTGGTCCTAACTCATAACGACCCTACGCACAACAGATTGTCACACTGCCCAGGTTTACGTCATTCTCATAATTGTTACACTGGAGCCCATTGCTACTGCCACTGGGCCAATCCATCTTCTTGGTTGTCTTGCTTTTTTTTTTACTAACATTTTTACTAATTTTACCAAATATTATGAACTTCTCCAGTGACTGATCCCTCCTGAGAACATATCTGAAGTATGAGAAATGAAGCCTCACCATCGTGGTTTCTAAGGAGCATTCTGGTGGTACTTTGTCCAATACAGATTTGTTTGTTCTTCAGACAGATTCACTATTCTCCTCCAACACTGTAACTTTACACGCATCAATTCCTTTATGGTCTTCCTTATTCACTGGCGAACTTTCACGTGCATATGAAGCAACTGAAAATACCATGGTTTGGGTCAGGCTTACCTTAATCCTCAAACTGCTATTTTTACTCTTGAATACTTTAAAGAAGTCTTGTGCAACAGATTTATCTAATGCAATATGTTGTTTGATTTCTTGAGAGTTGATTGTGGAGCCAATAAAAATGAAGTCTCTGACAACTTCAATCATATCTCCATTTCTCATGATGTCACGTATTTTGATCCAGTTACACTGAGGTGCATTCCTTAATGAAGTTTCTAGTCTTTGATCTTCATCAGTAAATATGTTAAGTCCTCTTCACTTCCAGCAAGAAGGTTGTATCATATCACAGGTTGTTAATGAGTCTTCCTCCAATTCTGAAGTCATGTTCCTCTTCATATAATAAAACTTTTTGGATTATTTGCTAAGTATACAGATTGAATAAATATAGTGATAGGACACAACCCAGGTGCACACCTTTCCTGAGTTTTAAAACATTCATTGTCCCTTTTTTAGTTCAAACAACTGCCTCTTTTTCTATGTACACGTTTTTCATGAACTTTTCTTCACTGCTGTCAGTCCTTGATCATAAGCTACCTCTTGAAAGACTTAAACGTCAACCATTGCTTTTTTGGTACAGTGCCTCTCTATATTCCTTTTATCATCTTTTAAAGCTTTCTGCATCATTCAACATTTGCCCATAGAATTCTACAATATTGTAAATCAAGGCTTCAATTTTTTCTTGAGTTCTTTCAGCTTGAAATCCTAACTGTGTTCTTCCCTTTTGGTTTTCAACTCCAGTTCATTGTCTTTTTCATTAAAATAGATATCTGTGTCTTCTGAAGTTACCCTTTGAAAGTCTGTGTTAAGCCCTTTTACTTCCTCATTTCTGCCATACATTTTACCATCTCTACAGTGGTGAGCAAATTTATAGTCTATTCTGACATCCTTTTGATCTTTCCTTTCTTTTCTGTCTTATTAATGACCTTTTGCTTTCTTCCTGTATAATACTCTTGATATCATCCCACAGCTCTTCCGGTCTTCGGTCATTAGTGCCTAGCACATCAAATCTGATCTTGAGATGGTCTCTAAATTCAGATGAGATGTGTTCAAGGTTGTTGTTTGGCTCTCATGGACTTGTTTTCATTTTCTTCAGCTTCTGCTGGA